AGCCAAAGCCAAACCAACAAGAGAGAAATGATCACACTTATCAATCAGTTACTCCTCCTCACGTTCTCCACTCTGATTATCAGATTTATAAGATAAACAAGCAAAATTTCTCTTCCTAGCCTGAAAGGGTGACATCGCCAATAAAGTTTGGTTGAACTGCCGAAGCTAACGTCGTATTTCGGCGGCGTAGGATCAGGAATGGTTTAGTGTAGAGTGGACCCTGAGCTGATGGTGGTGATCTAGACTTGTTTTTGCCAAGAGACTGTAGCATTCTGGGAGATTTGAGTTTCAATGGAGAGAGCAAATGTGAGCACATTAATGAGGTTCTTTTTCATTAGTCGTACCGGTCACTGTGGACGTTTGCTTGTCGAGTTTTGGGGTCTCTTGTCCCTGAACCATCAGCAGGCTTTTTGCCTCGGGGTTATGCTTATTTGCAAGTGGAATTTTCTTCATGTGGACCAGTAATTTTACATGACTCAGTGGGACCTCTTGCAAGGGTCGGCCGCTGACTTAGTCTACCCTGCCAAACGAGGCCAAACGAGGTTTATTTATCGGGGAATACGGCTTGGCATATCCAGTCTCTCGGTTCGACACTAGGCAAGCATGGAAAGGCGTGAGCGATTTAAAGTAAGCATCAGCTCTCATGTCCACAATGGTTCTGTTTAAGATGAAACTATCGATCTTGGCAAGAACTAGAAGAAGCCAGAGTCTCTCTTGAACTCAGTCAGCCAGTCCAGATTATCCGCTGGAGTCTGATTCCATACGTCGTGACTGGAAATCAGGTCAGTGGAGGCTTGCGTGACAAGACTGTGGTTCTTACCTGTCGTACATAATCCAACGTGCTTGGTATTGAAGTTCTTCGTCAGTTGGGATGTGACTTGTTGGATTCAGAGGCGAAATGGTTCTCGCAACGTAGCGGGTCAAGTCCCTGGTCAGACCTCTGTACATGTTGCCGTCATTCAGCGACACGATCTTCTGTCCCAGAGATATAGGTGGGGAGCTGGGAATGTTTGGTGGTATCCAATGCTCATGGTCGCCACTGGATATAGCGGGAAAAGGACTGGCTGAAAGCAGAGGAGGAATAAGGCCTTCTTGTGTGTTTGATGAAACAACACCAGATGGCGGCAGTCCTACTCTCTCTCGGAACGAAGCCAGCCACCTTGTTGACCGATAAACCAAACCAATCAACAGCTGACTGAACATAGGCGAAGCATCAGGCATATGGTTGATGATTGAACAAGCCTCCTTCTGCAACTCACCATCTCCAATCTCCAGGTTCAACAACTGCAGCATATCAATATACTGCCTCAGCGCCGTCTCAAGCTTGCAGTCCTCAAAGATATCTTTCTTGCTATGAATCTTCAACTCTGAGAACCTCGACCTAGCTGCACTCTTCATAGGCGTCATTCTTGCTTTGTTGACGATATCTTGTGTGCTCATTATGAGATCGCGAAGCCAGGATGTTGCCGTTGAAGGGTGTTGGTAGTTCATTTCCGCTCCGAAAATGATGCAGCAGGCTTCAAGATGAAGAGTCTCATGAGACGGAATGCAGTGATTGATGTCGGTATAGTTAGAGTAGAAGTAGTCGAGCTCCAATTGTAGTAGTTCAAAGGCGCTTGTTGAACTATACGGTGCACCCTGTTGCGTAGAAAACGGAAGAGGCGAGTTGCGCTCGTAATCAATGAGGTCTGCACAATCATGAGTAAGATGTCTGGGCTTGGAGTTATTTACTTACATGGGGGCATGTGATTCTCCACCATATCTAGCGTTGCAGCATCAAATCCCCAGTTCCCTCTCCAATCTGCCATGGTCTTCCCCTCCTTGAAGTGCTCCGCTAGATGATTCACCCGCTCCGACCATGTCGTCATAGTAATATCACAGAAACCGCAACGTGATATGACATCCTCATGTTTAGACTTCCATTCCTCCATTGGCCACTTCATGAATTCCGATCTGTGGACGAGGCGAAGGTGTTGTCGTAGATGATCCTTTCTGTAGAATATTCGCTCTCCTCTTTCACGTTTATGGCACAGGTCATGATTATGCTCCTCGAGGTGAGATTCATCTGGATCCCCAAAACCGCAATAAACACAGACAGTCTCAGAACTCTCGTTGAGAGCTGTTGGGCCGAGAGGGGAACACTCCCATTGCTCAAGAGACAGGTGCTGTGTCTTCTCGTGTCTGGACCACGTGTGTTTCAACTTGAACGTCTCAGTGCAAAAGGTACATTGAAAGCGATGGCAAGCAACAGAGAGACCTCTCTTGTCATCACTTCTGGTGCGTAGACCTCCTCGACGACGCTTCTTGATGACTCTGTTGAGTGACCGATTGGATGTATGTGAGTAGCCCGAGGCCTTAGAGCTTCGACTTGAATCGGAAGTATCAGTTGTCGCCCAGGTACCGGTCGATGATGGTGCCCTGCCGTGTCTCGTTCGCGTGCTGTGGGGTTGGTTGATGGTATCACTCGCGCCCGATACCGCCCTTACAATAGCGGCCATGGTGGATGGCTCGTCTTCAGGTGGTGAGTTCTCCCATCGCTCAAGTGGACTTTGTTGGACGATCGGTGTAGGTGGCCGACGTAGAGGTATGTCACGGGGACTAGCTTCTGCCGGACTTGTATCTGTTGTTTCTGGCGGGTTGAACTTCTTTCTACGACGAGCATTGGCGAACCAGTTCAAGATTTGTTGTCGAGTCAAGCCTGTCTGCCTCTCGATTGCCTCGACATCTCGGACGCTGGGATAAGGGTGATGTGTATGATTCAAGAGCCATTTGTTGAGAATGCGGACTGAGTTAAGAGAGAGTCGCTTCCCAGTCTTGGGCGGTGGGTTTGAGATAGTACTTGTTTCAGCCCATGCATCCGATACGACGGAACCAATAATTTCGGTGGATCCGAACGAAGAAAATGAGTTGACTCCTGGGACGTCTTCTAAGCCCGAGACTGGGTGCAATAATTGAGGATTGACTCCATTACTGAACGGATTCTGCGAGGCGAAGCCAAGGTCAGAAAAGCCGGCCTGGTCTAGAAGATCACTAAACTCGGTACATTCGCCCTGGAATACATTAGTACCGGCATTGACGCTGGTTTCTCCGTCGTTGCGTTCCATATTGACGAGCCATTCGCTAGTAGAGATGTAATGTCCAAGTTGAGACGATGAGTCTGAGGCGTCATGTAAGGTTGACTTGACCCACTATTTTCTTGTCATGTTCAGCCCTTTCAGGACCCTTGAACCAATAGCACACAAGATGACACGATAAGCTTCACTATGTCAACGTTAAACCCATCCAAGGCGATATTTCTCTATAGTTAACAGCAATAATGAATCTGAATATCACCACAGGATATCATGTAGAATATAACCCAGACATGCTTGCCCAAAATCGTCCTGGCTGAAATCCAAGTGAAGAGGGTGCGGAACATCGCAACCAAGATGTGGACGAGGACTTCCAAGACATTGGGTTCGTCAGCCGCAAGACCAGATCCCCGGTTGTCCAGGGTCAATGACAAATGGGACAATCTTGTACAGTCACTTTAGGTCCCACCGACTCTCGTATCCGCACGATAGCCCAACAACCGGCACACTCCTGAACCTCAACCTCAACGTCCGTAATGTCGTAACCTCTCAAGATATATCTACACATCCTTGCGACAATCCAGGCATGCGACCAAGACGTAGAATCAGCCTCGACTATGACAAGGACCTTCACCTGACGTTCTTGCTGTGCACTTCCAATGCGACAGACCTCAAAGCAGTTCCACTTTGTATACTCCAGCGCACCAGCAAGTTCCTTCTGAAGGATTCTCTCAGGATCCGACCAGAGACGTCTCAATGGATGAGAGTCTTCCACATACGACCAGTCGTTGCATAGGCCCGACCACTGATCATCGGGGTAGTTTGATCGCGCCAGGAGTCGGGGTTTGTTTCGCCAGAGACCGTAGTAGTCTTCTGTCTCCAGCGCTGTCGGGGGAGGGGGTACACCCTCTGGTAGGGCCTGAAGTAGAGGTACCCGAACGGTTCGTATCGATGTTTCGGGGTTCACGTCAGGTGGAGGGGTGCTGGATCCTCCTGGGCTCTCGGGACATGAGTCTCCCGTCTCACCCTCTTTGGTGGTATTTGTCAAGTGAGATGGAGCACCTCGGGCATTTGGCGATTTTCCAATCGATCTCTTCCTCTTTTTCTGAAAGTTCATATTGAGGTAATAGTGACAGGCCAAGAAAAAGGATTGAGCGATATATCAGGACTTAATAAACAGGATGCCATATTGAAGAGTTTGAACTGGGTTCTTCATATCTATATGCGCTAATATTTAATATTCCTGTCACCATTTGATAGAAAGCTTTTCTGTGTTAAAGTTGCGTTCTTTTTGTATACGTTATTATACTTCCAGGATTGGAGGCTATTGATTGCTGGACAGTTATATAGCCTTTCGTTTATCGAGATTTATGACATAATACTGGAACTTGCTGTATTTCACTTCTGAGGTATAAAGTTATTGTCTGTTTTACTTTACGCATTAGCTGCGAATTGTCTACATTGAAAAAGTCCACGACAGATACGTCTGACGACTTGCTGGCGGTTCTCAACAGATTAGTGTTAGGACAGCAATAAATACCTCTAACAACAGATCAACTGATCTAGGATATACCTTCGACTATTCGATGGAGAAGATGACGTTGCACGTACAACAAATCGAACACATCGTAGATCAGAAAATATATCATAATTATTTAGTAGCCCATTTTTATCGTTCTGCCTTCGTCTAGGTCAATGCTGTACCCGTGATATCTCCCAGCTCAGGAAACAGAGCTGTCTTCATCTTCGCCTTCGTCTTCAGATCCACTGCGTATACACGCCCTGGCAATTCCCTTACATACGCCACTGCGGCGTTCTTATCCAATCCAAGCCCAATCGTCTCGCGTAGTCGCCTGGGTAGAACATTCTGCTCAAACCTGGAGCTATGACCTTGGAAAAAGCATGAGTCGGAAAGATTCAGATGAAGGATCACCACAATACATCCAGTCCAGAGTCTGTGTGCTCTTGTCGAATACACAAGTCATTAGGCCCAGGGACTGTGTCAAATACTGTCAGGACTTGTGTTAGTTTATCAATCTTGGCTCGGAGGACACGTCTTTGGGATCCTTTCGATGGGCGCTTTTGTGACCAGTAGAAGCATTCTTCTAACTCGTCTACTGTGATAATAACGCACCAACGGCACATATCTTTTCTGTCCTCTTTTCCTGAGCCAGCTGACACCAGAACACCAACATCAAGATTACAATGCATAACCTTAAATCCTTCTCCATCCCACCAGTACAACTTTTTACTCTGTCGCGCAAGAGTAAGCATACGTTCTATTCCAGCTCCGAGCACTCGAAAATCGTGGTCACAGAGGACCTTTCTCCATTCTGAGGTGTCTAAGAGGCGGTGAAACTTCATCGCAGTGTTCTCATCGGGGAGCAAGTGGGTTTACTGGACAGTCGGGCGAGACAAAATTTGCATCAGCATCACCATTTAAGTCGAAAAAAACATAGTCAGCCCAGCCAACCATCTTACAAATTTGTTGAGAATATTGGTCATGTGGTCTCCATACTCTGAGTACAGGAAGCAAGTCATCTTAGGGGCCTAAATGCACAATCAAGCTGCTTTGTGTTTGAGGTCATCATGATATCCGCAAATCCCTGCGGTACCATCACTTGGACGCGAACTTTGCTTATCTCGACCATGGCGAACGGTTGACTGTAGACTGGAATACATGTCACAACTGACCAACGCGGAATATCGAACTGAACCAGCGATGCCGGAGCCAACGCCTAAGATAGGGTCGACAATACCGAGCTGTGCGTGGTGTTTCTCTTGCGCGGCTTCCACCAGGTGAAACGTATAACTGGGTATGAGGTCCTTAGTAGCATTCTCTTGATTCATTCATAAATAAGTTTGTCTAACATTACAGACACTCAAGGTTAGAGTGAGCCAGTCTCTATCGGTGATGCTAGGGCTTTAATTCATGCTAATTGATGCATTGTGATAACAAGTATCAGTTTCGGTATGTCTTCATGAGTTTGCACCTGACTTTGGTTATGGAGTCGCAGATCCAAGGATTCGGAAACAGTACTCTTCAAGTGTCAAGCTTTTCCTTATGCTTAATATAAAGTATTCATAAAATATTCGTTAATTATTCAGCCCTTCTGCTTTCCGTTATACCTACTGTATTTTCAGCCTGACCTGAATTGAGGCAATCCCTCTCGATTGCCTGGTACTGGTTTCCAGCGGGTGCTGCATGTTCTGTCATCGGTCTTTTTGGGGAGTACCTATTCAAGAAGATCGGGGACGTACGTTAGATACTCTTTGTTAGTGCTAACCACCGTCTCCAGTGCAATGGCTGTTGTGACATGAGGATCTCGCGTGGCGTCGACAATCCGCGCAGCATTGATCAGAGGTCTTGTGCCTTGAGTCTTCCTACGGCCGATGTTAATCTTTCTTTAGTATGTAGCAGCTCATCATTTATATATCGTTGCGATTCAGGTGATTCTGTCTAGGAGAGTTCTAAACTCAGGTGACGCGGCCAAGGCTGGCTGCTTCGTTGTTGACGCGTAATCTTTCATCGGGATGACACCCACTTTCCTTGATCCCCGCCCACTTTTGATCCAGCTTACGAATAACACTCTGCTATTCGGCTACTTGAGTCATGTAGTATGGGGTTTGGGCTTGACTTATAACCTGCCCGTATTTTCTACTTCTTCCAGCCGTACTGTTGCGACATCTGCTCAAGTAGAATGACAGCCAAGGCAGACGCTTCTGAGAGTGCCAAGCCAAAGTACAGACGTGCATCTGCTCGTAAGGTTCGAACAGGCTGCAGAACATGGTTAGTCTCAGAATCGCCAAGTGCAGTGAAGTGACCTATGCTAACCTGATCGTTGCAGCAAGTAAGTCCGCGAACCCATCGGCTTCGGTTCGTTCCGGGACAACCTGCAAGATAAGATTGCTTACTACCTCGATAGGATCCGACACATAAAATGCGATGAAAGTCGCCCTCAGTGCCGTCGCTGTCTCACTCATGGAGTGATCTGTGATGGTTACGCGCCAATCAAGCCAAAAGTCTCACCGAAAAAACGGGACCAAGAGAAGAGTACGGTCGAGGCCTGTCAGGATTGTGACACACTGCCTCCAGCTCTCTGCTATACGCCTTTGCTCCCCCCAGTACTCTTGATGAAACAATGTTCGATGCCCAGGCGCAACCAAAGTGTTGTCGTTCTAGAAGAACTGCATCATTCGTCGCTTCCCCTATCTTTGGCGTCCCGTGTCGCAGAGAACCCGGATTCAGAGCTGGCCCCGATTAAGAAACAGCTACCACTTCGAAATGACACAAAGCTTCCGAGTATTGCCGAACTCGTTCAATGTACTACGATATCGGCGACATCCAGCCAGGGGTCTATACCCCGGGTTAGTCAAGGCTTTTCACTACCAAAACTTGCCGATTTCTTGATAGAATCGGCCGGATCATCGCGTTTAATATCCCTGGATCGATCTTGTCACGGAACAGACTACGATGGCAGCGCCCTTCTTCCACGTCTTCGTCAACCCTTTCGCAGTCCGCTATAGTCCGATAAAGCTATTACATACATCAGGATGAAGGGTCACTGAGAGCGGTGAGCAAGGTTAGAGGTTCATGCTCGCGACGCCGTTCAGGAGTGGGAGACGCTGCATTATGTGCCCAATATCTTCACCAGCTCACGTGCCGCGCATGAGAGATAGAGTTGGAAAGAAATTTAGCGGAACAATGGCTCACAGCTCAATTGGAAGGATATTATACTAACTTTGAGGGCAACGGAGCATTTTGGCACCCACTGAAGGTCCGCATTGAGGTTATCCGCAATTAGGAAATGGACAGACTGCTCCTCAAGGACAGTTGTACGCTAGGCATCATCAAAGCCGGGGTCAAAGCGGGCAACCTGAATGCAAAGGGATTCGATCATTCACATCACAAAGGGGGAAAAAAGACCGTAGCGGTATCTCTAGCCATGAGGCTACAGCAACATATTGAGTCGTATCCCCAAATACGAGAGACATAGCGCCTAATGTCTAATATCTAGCTATTACTGAGTCTGTATCATGTTGTTGCCTGGTAAAATTTGGGTTTTTTGACTGATAAGATTTTGGTAATGAGTCACGAGCTCGATGAGTATTTGTTGCCTTGCCATGAAGCTTATTCAGCGATGGACGCGTACGGAATTTGATCAACGTATCTAGCATACTATCAACCTATCCAGTTAGTTCCCTTTAGGATCGACTAAGTGCCAGTATGAAACGTTCTGGAGATTTCACTTTAGGCACGCGTGTACCCAACAAATACAGATAGGGTAGGGTTGTCATCTGTACTCATCATACTAATGGTATCAGATGCCCTTCCAAAATAATTCAACATGAGCGAGGCAGCCCGTTAGCAGATATGTGATTGTAATGATTCCATGTCTTTCAAGAAGCCAGAGATTTTTGTACTCATACCGGAAAGTCTTTGGTTATTTTCTACAAAAGATAGGATAGTCTAGGAAGCTAAACTATGAAAGAATCGAACGATATTCTGTCAAATCTATAGACTTGATAAAGAATGTGTCCTCGGAAACGTGTGCGACGAGGTGACTTTCGAGAGAAATTGATGATGACAGCTACCTTCACCCGCTCAACATCTAGCAAAGTCCGTTGCAGTTCGTCTTGGAGACGTAGTTCACAGTGAGCATTCCGTGAGACTTGATATCGTTGTCGCTAGGGTAGAATGCCGGAACACTGCCGCACTTGGCGCATCCGTGGTTAACCAGCTCCTGGAGCAGCTTCTTGATGTCCTTGCCAGGAAGGCCACCGGTGTTCTGAAGGAAAGCACAGAATCCGGTCTTGTCCAGAGCCTGCCAGCAAGCGATATGCTGGCCGTTGTAATACCACTTGTTGTCGTTCAGGCCCTGGGCGGTTTGGAGGAGGCCAGTCAGTTTGAACCCAACGTTGGCGCAGTTGCTGCTGCCGTGGCAGTTGATGCCCTCGGCAGAGGCACCAAGAGCAAGGACAGCGGAAGCGAGAAGAGTGGTGAACTGCATTCTGAATTGCACTTGTTAGTAGGGGATAGTTTATGTTGACAGGAGCTCTGACTTGAAATTGGTTCTTAGTGAGTTTCAATGGACTTGGCCGAGTTTGATGAGCTTTGTAGCTTTTGCGAGATGATTGAGAGTGTTGTGAAGTTGAGACGTTGGATTCTTAGCAGGAAATATCATTTTATTTATACGTAAATCCCTCTCGCTGAGTTGTTAATACACATGCGAAGACAAATATGCTATGAGCACTATCCTCGGCATGTCGCTCACAGATTCATCCCCAAGGCCACGGCAGATGTCATAGATTCCATTCCTGCCGAAAAGGTGCTTTGAATCATCACAGGAATGAGGCTATCGTATGTTCCATGTATGGTTCGGCCGCCAGCGGCATCTGGGTTTCCTAGACCATTCCTCTTTGGTAGTATGTTTGTAATGATTCATAAGCCGCAGACATATTATAAAGCTCGTATATGTAACATTTGATTACGTATCTGCAGTGCTACAGCTATTCATCTCTGCATACACCATCAATGTCTCTGTCGTTTCGAGAAGGTCAAAATAGCATGTGCTTCATTTTAGACGCCGATTCTTACCTCATTGCAAAGCCGATCCATTCTTATTATTTTTTCTTTACTCTGTACTTACCAGATAAATCCCGTGACTGCAAAGAGCCGAGATTTTATTTCTCTCGAAGACATTACATATTTTCTTATGATATATAATCACCGTGTCTAGAGCGCATTCTGGAGTATCAGGTAGATCAACTTCTACCCAATCGGCGTAAACCGACGTCGTACTTCTCGGTGAGCTGGAGCCTAATATACGGAGTAGTGGGTCAATCATCAATTTTCTGTGTGGCCAGACAAAGTTCCCTCAGCTCGGACATCGCTGCATCTGCATCATCACATTCTTGAACACAAAGACCTTCGTACTCGACAATGGAGACCACATGTCAAAGTGACCTTCCTCTTCCGCCCGAGATCGTCACCTTGATATGTTCGACTCTGCCGAAACCCGACCTGCTTCGCTCGAGATTGGTTACTCATAGATTGCATGATGCAGCGACTCCATTCGCTTTCAGGGAGTTTTACCTTCGAGCTTATGGAACCGCGGCTGCGAGTTTCACCTCTATTGCAGCATCAGCTCGTCTGCGGAACTACGCTAAGGAAATAACCATTGACACCAACATCGGCCAAGACTATGAATACGCGTCCAGCGAGTCCTATGAATTCCCCAGTGGCTTCTTCAACGCCCTTCCCTCCCTGCGCTACTTCTCCAAGCTCACTAAGCTACACTTGAGATTCAGTGAATATTGCGGGGATAACAGAAAAAAGTTGAATGGGCATGGATCGAGGAAGACTGGGAGTTTCAGTATAGAATCCTTGATATTGTTTCTCACTGCATCGTGGGATTGTGGACACGGGCAAAGCAAGTTGAAATAGATGAAAGGGCGAACCTTCGTTATTTCGAGGCTAGGTACCTAGACGATGGCCCAGAGTTCGTCGCTAAGTGCGCAGAGCATCTCCGAGAATTCACTATTTCCTACTTGGCCGATTATGATGATCCCAATCTGGCTTCTTCAAAAGCTTGGCAGCAATTACTCCGCCTGCCTCACTTGCAAGGCTTGAAGCTCTTGATTACTACAGAGTATCGTAGATCGCAACACCAGATTCGCTTTCCCCAAGAGAGACACGAACTCTTCCAGAAGCTCACCTCAACTTGGCTAGCACCAAGTCTGGGGACTGTCTCAGAACCTTATCTCTTTCATACACTGAGTACTGGGGCTGGTTCCCCAGAATGAATCTCTATGAGATTGTAATGCTACCTCAACTCAAGGTTCTAGCTCTTGGGCAATATGTCTTTACTGATGAGCGACAAACAGACTGGATTGCAACTATCGGAGAAAGAAACGCAAGTGGTGGTCTAGAGGAGCTCTATCTGGATGAATGTCCTATCTTATTCAAAGCCCATCAACACAGCCCCCTGACCAGTGATGGATACCTTGATCCGCGAGCTACCTTGAAGGGTAATTATGCTACTTCTGTTACCAAAGAATATAACATCAGATGGCACAATGTCCTTGAAACCTGGAGAGGACGTATGGAAGGCCCCAAGAAGTTCATCATGGGCCATGGCGATTGGTCGTCTCAATGGCCGAGTACCAAAACATTGATAGAATACGAAGGTTTTGTCAATCTCAACAGCGATGAGCTGAGTCCAATGTTTAGTGAAAATGTTCACAGAAACTTTTGCAAACCTGCAGGCGTGGAGGTCAGCAATACCAAGGACCCAGTATTGGCTCAGAGATACCTAATGGTGCGGGATTGCTACAACGAAAGACAGCACGAATGCAGTATCTTAAGTATAATGCCGGCATGTGTAGGCCATGGGATAATCCATATCCGACCTGGGGAAGAAGTCGACCAGACGATGGTTGGGCACCAGAGAAGGAGACTGTCCAAATGGATGATGCGGCGTACGAGCTACTCATGGCAACTAGTCGGGACAGGATTTTAGGGGACGAGAAATAACGAATCGGAGAATAATACTTTGTTCAGATTCTGATAGTGAGATTTAGTTTTAGAAAGTATTATCGATGTCATTCGATCCTAACAGATTTAAAGATGCTATCAATCTCGCTCCTATAATTCTGAATCTCTTAATTCTGCATATCCATCGCGCTTCAGTATTTGATCTCATCAACGTCATGCATCGGCAGTTGCACCACTTCAAGGGGCAATATCCCCATCGGAAAATCCAATCTCCGAGTACTTGTCTCGATTTCTTCTTCTCCATCTTCCAGAAAATTTCTACATCTTTTCCTGTGCGGAAGTGTCCGCGTTTCTCCACTCTACTGTTCCGTCCCTGCGTCATCGTGGAGAAGAGCAACAAATCAGCTGCGCGTCCCTGGAAATGCCTTTTGTCGTGGCGGGTTTTTGAGCCTCATGTTGCAATTGCGTGGAGATGGAATTCCACTTATTCTTCCTATGTCCGATTTCCGCTCGCGCTCGCGTTTAAGACTGCCGATTAGGAGTTCTGTCCATCGGGGGCCTATTATGGAGATGGTGACGATGCATGATTTCTGTGGAGTTGAAAAATGGAATCCCTGGAGGCTGAAGATTTGTGACCGAGAACTCGTCGTTACACCGACTTTAACATCATTCTGAAGTAATAAAAGTCAGGCATCCGACCATAGTCCAAGCTATCTACCCCATCTGCATCTTGACCTGCCTCTACTCTTCACTTGCTACTCCTAATCACGCAGCCTTCAATATGCCACAAGAACCCAGAATCCCGGATGTATACGGTCCCGGTACTCATTCCGACCGCACATTCGTCCCCGTTCCCCAAGACACACTACGCATCTTCCGTCTCATCGCCTCCCAAACACCCGGCTTCACCCAAGATGATTCCATCCTTTCAAAGGTCAGATTCACTGGCGATGAGTTCCCAGTCATCTCCGGTCCTATAAAGGCTGTCTCAGTAGCTGCCGCTCTGCATGCCATGGCTGGTGTAGTAGCTGACGAGATCCTTACTCTTCGAGGTGTCGAAAACAAGGAGCGAAGAGTGACTGTCAATACAACACATGCTGGACTTTGGTTTGGCAATATCGCTACTGCATATGTTGGTGGCAAGGATGCCCTTGCGTTGGCCAAGTCTGGAGAACTGAAGACGCTGTTACCAGATTGGGAACGAGGATGGGTTGACACACCTCTCAAGTATCGTACCACAGGGCTTTATCCTACCTCAGATCCTGATGTTTGGTACTCCCTTCATGGCTCCATGAACGCTGAGCCAGTCCTCAAGTCTATTGGCGTCGACCCATCCGAGGCCATCACCTCCAATGAAGAAGCAGCCGCGCATGTCGCAAAGTTCACAAGCAAACTCTCACCTGAGAAGCTTGAGTTCACAAATCTTGTCAGCGGCAACTGCGGCAGTATCTGCTTCACACCCAAGCAATGGAATGAAACCGAAATGGGCAAGTCACTCGCTGCTCATCCTCTCATCAATGTCAAGGCTCAACCTCAAGCTATCCCTACACCTCCCGTTGCATTCCCTCCTCTTGATCCAACCGATAAGCGCCCGCTAGCCGGTATCAAAGTCGTCGAGATGACTCGTGTTATCGCCGGTCCGCAAATCGGCACAATACTTTCCAGCTTCGGCGCTGATGTTATCAGGGTCAATCCTCCTCACTTACCCGATATCAACATTATGCAACTCACTCTCAACGCTGGAAAGCGTACCATCGCTATTGATCTGCGGAAACCCGAGTATGCAGCTATCATCAAGTCTCTTATAGCCCAGGCAGATGTATTCATCCAAGGTTTCCGTTTGAACAAGATGCCGAAGTTTGGCCTTGGATTGAACGACATCCTCAAGATGGCTGGAGAGCGAGGTCGTGGTATTGTTCACGTTTCGGAGAACTGTTATGGCCCTGATGGATATTACGCCGAGAGACCTGGCTGGCAACAAATTGCTGATGCGGCGGCAGGATCAGCATACGTCACTGGTCGTTCTCTCAACTTACCTAACAACGAAGCTGTCCTGCCTTCTCTACCTGTTAGCGACATGACTACTGGCGTTCTCGGCGCAGTAGGTGCTCTTCTGGCCCTTCGCGATCGCGCCACCAAGGGCGGAAGCTATGCTGTTCACGCATCTCTCGTCGCCGTCAACGCGTTCGCTCTTCGATCCGACGTCGGTCTCTACTCACCCGAAACAGTCGCCGAATGTGCTAAGCGTTTCCAGTGGGCAGAAATGAGAGGATCGCATCATGTTCTTGATCTTATGATGACGGTCTGGGATGGATGGAAGAGAGTCCTTGGTAGGGAGTTGGCGGAAGACGGTGGATGGTACCAGAGCTTTGAGACAAGCGCCTTTGATGGAAATAAACTGAGCATCCTGAGGCCCGTTGTTAGATTAAGCGATGACGAGGTGACGCCGAGATGGAAGACGCCCAGCGTACCTTATGCTTATGAGAAGGCTGAGGCCGTCAAGTTTCAGTAAAAGGATTGCTTGAAGGTTATAGAAAAAGCAGAGTGTCACAATACCTTTAGCAATAAGACGCAAGACATGTATTATTTTTGATAGCGAATTTAATTTAGTCTTACAGTGATTTGCTGTCGTGAGCAATTGGAACATGTATTACAGACGCATGACAAAGACTGGCCCATTTTAGCGTCGGGTTTGAGGCGGGTACCTGTAGGGTCACTTCCAACTTCAATTAGTACAACTGGTACTTGGAGCTACGTTTCTTACGATGTGAATGCCAATACCAGGTCTTTTTCGTATTTGAGATGGTTCGATTTGCGGTGAGTCACTTGCCGACTTTATCTTTAATGTTACACCTGGTAGCGATTGAAATCGCCAAATCTCCAAGCAATACTGAAGCAAAAAGCTCTCAATACTGATTTTCTCACTTCTACTACCTGTGCTACTGCCCAGGCGTTGATCCTCAATCCCATCCAACACGTAAATCGACTTGTTCCAATAACGATGGAAGACACACCGACTCCACATACAACAACGAGAATCGCTTACATACGCACCATCATTGACAAAGACAAAGAAGTAGAATACTACGAGGGCTGTTGGTTCAATCTCAAGATGCTTCTATGGTCATGGGTTGGCCAGAAAGTTCACAACGACCCCGCTGGAACTGGCTCTCCACGACTTCGCACCTCACCTCCACCTGGTATACGACACCACTACATCATCGGCCATTCCAATCCTGTTGACGCTTTTGTGCTCGAATGGCTCCTAGAGAACTCCAAGCCCGATAGTTGGAGGATGTCTCGCGACGATTTTGAAGTTTACCTTTCTGAGGCGCAGATGAAGGACCCAGCAAACAAGGAACTTCTTCAAAAGCTTGAACAAGAGCGCGTAAAGGTCACGGTAGTCGACTCGTTCATGCCGACCAAATTTGATACACAAGATTTGTGTGACGGAGTGATGCTCACTCAAAGCGATTACGTTCTCGAAACATATCTAGAAAGAGGTACGAGCTGTTGGATAACATCAAATGTGCTCTATCGCGACTCTCTTCGCCATGGCCATCCCCAACGCTACAACACTGAAGAGCTCTCACAGCGATACTATGAGAACAGACTCAAAAACAAGATGGGTCATACCAGGTCATCATGTTCATATCCCCATGGCAAATCCGACGCTTGGAAAATCGATCACGCAGAAGATTGGAAGAACTACAAGTGCGAATCTTGCGGGCAGAGATGTAAGCGCAGTAAAGGGTGTAAAGTGACGGGCGAAGATTGGGCCAAGGGGAAGGATGTGATAGCGTGGGATGAAGGAGTTGATACATCGGCGCCGAGACCGCCTGAGTTTGAAAGGGATTGGAGAATCTTGACGGCGGAAGACATATGTAACTATTGGAGCACCGATCCAGTATCGTGTGAGAGATTTAGAAAGTGGAAGTGGAGGTCTGTTGACACGTTCACAGGCGAATAAGGTTGTGGGCCGAATGGGCTCAGATTGTTTTCTCTATCAACAAACTACTCCTCATAACTCATCACGTCATTTTATAATCAGCTCAACTTCTCCAGATAGATTTCTAAATCTCGTGAATACCGCATCCTAAGTGACGAATGCCCATCGCCTCAAGCTCGTCAATTTGAGCCAGGTCAGGTCCGACACTTCGCTCCTGGAGACCCTGCAACGAAGAGGCAGTAGTCTTGGTCTTGGGGATGAGCTTTGTTCCTCTATCGTCGAGGACAGCCAGGATGTGTGCAGCAGCCTGTTTGCGTTAGAGTCACAAATAGCAATTCCATGAGTATCAGGCTTACCTTGGCGTTGATGGTGAGGGTCTTGGAATCAGGGTTGTCAATGGTGTCGCAAGCCTGGTGGTAGCAAGGATCCTGCGCAACAGCCGTGCCCTAAACCTTGGTTAGTTGTAGAAGCATAATGGAATGAGTCAACCTACAGTATGCAAGAAACCAAAAGGCTTGTTCAAGTTCTGCCAGAAAGGCGCATAGTCACTACCATTGGTTAAAACAGCAGGCGTAACCTCAATTCCCTGGCTCTCAAAGTATTCTGTGAAGATCTTCTCCGTGACCTCAGAGCCCTTGGGAGCTTTAGATCCATGAGAACTTCCATCAGTATCAGCAACGCCGAAAAAGCCCTTGGAAACCATATCGAAATTGAGATAGACGAGAAGGTTGTTGACATCCTTGGCGGGAAGAGTGGAGGTGTAGTGCTTGCTGCCGAGGAGGCCGTTTTCTTCGGCGCCCCACCATGCGAAGCGGATCTTGTTCTTGGTCTTGTACTTTGAGAGGGCGAGGAAGAGTTCGAGGATGAGGGATGAACCGGAACCTAGCTGTGTTAGTGGACTCATGATAGAGCGCGGCAGGAAGACATACCATCGTCATTGATACCGGGACCGGCCTGAACACTATCAAGATGGGCACCGAGCTGGATAGGCATGAGTATGACTATTGATCATTGGAGAGAGTGACAAACCATGATGACATTACGGGAATCACCGCCCTTAGTCTCAGCAATGACATTCTGGGTAATCCTCTCCTCGATGGTCTGCGTCTGCTGAAAATGCGCTGTAACAGTCTCACCAGCCTCGATCCTCTCCTTGATCTTCTCGCCATCCACAAGATTGATAAAGCCAGCTGGAACATGCTTCTCAGGATCAGGCTGACTAAGAGAACCAGCAGTAACATTCGTGGTGAGATCATGGTAGATGATGACAGCGGATGCACCAGCTGCAGCAGCAGGGATCACTCTTCCAGCAAGTGTTCCGCCAGTAGGACAGCGGAAGCGCTGGACGAGCACGATTTTACCCTTGACGTCGAGATCATCGTATGATGAAGCGTCGCAGCCTGCTGCGCCTTCGGGACCGAGCGCGATCTCGGCGGTAATGCCTTCTTCGGAGGTTGAGGGGGAGTAGGTCAGGCCGTAGACGTAAACAGGCGTGTCGTCGACCTTGAGCTCAATTGAGTCTACAAAGGCAAAGAGCGCGGAAAAGTTTTGCTTCCAGACCTTGGCGGTCTTGACTTTTGAGATGCGCTTAAAGATGTAATCCACTGAAGCGTCGTATCCGGGAAGACCGAAGGCTCTGTTACCACCGTTGGCAAAGGCAATGTCGTTGAAGGCCTCGAGGTTTGACATAAGACTTTGTCATGTTAGCGTATCTCTGATGTAAGAAACCGGGGACAATTACTTTTTGGTCTTCATGTCAGCTTGGATCTTCTTCGACTCTAGCTTGTGTGTCTTGGCGAGGCCATGGCTGGGAGCCAGCGCCAACAATGTGGCGACTCCAGTGCTGAACTTCATGTTGACGATGTACGATAGTTGAACTGGTAGTGGCAACGAAAGCGGGGCGTAGCACAAAAGGCGAAGAGTCTCTATTTATACAGATAAACAAGTCACGCAATCAGAGGCACTCGCAATGCCAAGAAAGACAATCCGTGGCGGGGAATCATGACGAACACAAGTTCACGGAAACAGTTTCGCTTCTGGAAGGTCATATCTAGCCAAGCAGCTACTATGATGATCGCCAGCGGACTTATTCAGTGGAGGCCTTATCGCTAGCGGTGACGACTCCCAGGCACTTTTGCTTGCACCAACGAGAGTCGAACGTTTACTGCACTAAAATGTGACCAAGCCCGATCGACGTTGCACCAGGTGAGGGTCATCTTGGCAAAGAACGATAACCCCGCGAGACCAAGAGCACCAAGAGCCTTTAATTGGGCAATGGCGAGCTTTTTCTTGAGGTTGCACTGTTTTGGAAGGTGGATGAAGACCTTGGGGACAGGGATCATGAACCATACGAATAAGCTTAAGATGCAAAAGTTCCTAGTGCACGCTAAACGGGTTTGGGCGACGATTGATGTGTCTCTTGCTTCGACATAGCAGGTGCATTGTTTAGATGGCATCATGTTCATCAAACTACGATAAATTGTGTTCCTGGCCTTTGTGCCGTGAGCTATTTTTTGTCCGCTCATATTTGAGACATACTGCTCTTGTTCAGTCCCCCAAAGAACCACTCGCCCTTTGTCGGCACAAAGTTCTTTGACAATTTGAAGACATGATGCTAGATATGAGAACAGATCACAAGATTGCGCGAACGCATCCAGTCTCTTGGTATTTAAGAGCCTGGGCTTCCGATTATTCTGTCTGTTCTCTGCCTTGTTGACTAACACCAGAATTACTAGTACCAAACAACAACAAATTCAAAATTACAGCGACATTTTGCACCATGGATCATTACAACTCTCTTACCAGACCTGTCAAGGAGGAGTCGGAAGGTAATCCAGTTCGACGATCGGATCTCGAGGCCGATAAGGACTTCGATGTTCTGTCGTTCATTGAGTCTTATTCTGACAGGCATGAAGTTGGTCATGAAATGAAGGATGCGGAATACCGTAAGCAGGAGGAAAGGCTCATGGATTTAGCCATCGATTTCGTTCGCGGGGAGGCTACTGATGAGAATGGTTTGATCGCCACCGTCAATCCTCATCCTAAGCTCTCGATTGCACACGATTTAGTGTCATTCCTCTTGGACCGCAAAGCTGCAACTTCTCACCTCTTTAGGCGTCATCCGATCCCTTCAAGCACTACCCCTCAGCCGTTCCCCCTCAACATGTTCATGGGCAAATGGACATCATGGACAAGTTTCACGCTATCGAAATCAAAGGACGTCCAACCAGGCACTCGCCAATGTTGTCAGCTGATGAAACCTGGCGATATCGAAGTCATAACGGTATCAAATGACAAGTTCGTACAGCTGATGAGTCTCCTAACCGGAGACGAGCTGCTGATGATGACAATTTGGGAGACGCCCGATTCTTCGAGATATGTGAGTCCTCATCTGGAGATAATGAAACCTAACTTTGGTTTAGTGGAAGAGCGCGGTGAGAGAGTCATTGCTTGGAGAGTTCACGGACTCGATACCTCGTACTACATGGATAGACTGGGATATCGCATTCCTGATATGGTTTGGCCTCTTCAGGAGGTTAGCAAGGTATGATGATGCAGTTCCCTTTACCCGGGTCTTAGAAGCAGACTAGCCACAAGTAGGAAAGCAAGAGCATGGCAATAAATAGATATTAGAACCCCATGAGAAGGGCTTATAGAGCACAATAGACTTTCGAAGTATGGGTTTAGGCCTTGAAACAAATCACATATAGAAGCAACACATTAAAAGGCACAGACAAGACGCCTGAGTACTTGTCAATAAAAGCAACGTATTTAAGGAACTCAGGTATCTGAGCAAAGCTATCTAGATGTGCGCGAAATTAATTATGAAACAGTGTGTAGGTTGAGTGACTCTTATCTCAGTACAATACTGTGTGCTACTGCCACGGCACTAAAGAATACCGAAGAATCTGCGCCAGAACTTTAGTCTCTCTTTCGTGACTCTATACCGTTGGTCTGTAGGACATTCACCTCCTGCATTGTGAAGTCTCACGTCAGCAATTCTTGCTCAAAATTGGTGAATTACTAATTCCACAATTTTGGTGATTTCTAATCGTATCCATTAAATATTGGTCAAAGGCCAAATGAGTCTGATGGATCCCTCTGAAGTGAGAAGTACCATGTGAATACCATCATCATGCTCATCTATCGGATCAGGCTTCTTGTCTTTCTTGCGACATTTTTCTGTGGCGTTTGCAAAGCTAACAGCAATAGATTCTCATTTCCTACGCGAAAAGTTGCTGGCATAACAGTGATCAACACACCAATTGTTCAAGATGCTGAAGTTTTTGCGTTAAAGCATAGTACCTACCCCATTTACAAGCATGTCATGCGATCTTGGCTCTACGGAGTCCTCATGATCAATGCCAACGAAACCCTCAGTAATAGTGTCGACCTCGAAGTTCACGCTGTCGCTACCCTCTTGCACGACCTTGGCTGGGACACGACAGAAGCGTCGCCCATCATCAGCGCTGATCGTCGGTTCGAAGTCGACGGGGCTTTCGCAGCACGCGACTTCATACAAGAGCACCACCATGGAAAGTTTTGGCATGAGAGGAGTGTTCAGCTTTTATGGGATGCGATCGCACTTCATACAGAAAGGTCTATATCCTATTTCAAGGAACTTGATGTGCAGGTTGTATCGAAGGGCATCGCAATGGACTTTTCGGGACCAGCTTATGGCGTCTCGGGAGAGGAGTATGCTGCAATTGCCAAAGCCTTTCCGAAAAGTGATCTCAAAGACAGTGTCAATGACACTATCATCTGGCTTTGTGACACGAAGCCCCAGACGACATATGGTGAGTAATTCTGCTGCCTATTGCGTGGCCTCTACTGATACGTATGTTGCATACACTTGGATGCAACCTTTTGGGGAGAGATACGTTGACAAATATGACCCGAAGGGCAAACAGAGAATTGATTTGATCTTCCAGAATCTTACGACTGGGAACAATTAGTTGATGCCTGGAACAGGAACAGGCTCCCTTTTTGAAATACGAGGCGTGTTTCAAAACTAGCGAGCG